AAACTAAGTTTAAGATTCTGGTGAAATCCGTTTCGCGCGTCAAACTCAGTTTCAGACGTTAAACTGGTTTAAGATCGCTTGATGAAAATGGGCCTAAGTGTTCAAAACCGTTAGAAACTCTGTTGCTGGCTGACAAATTTAACAAATTCCAGTACACCTCTGCCTCCAGTCCCATCGGAAAAACGCGTGCTAATGGAGAATGGCAGCAACCGCTCCTCAAATTCCAGCGGCAATTACGGGCATCTCATTGAGCCTCAAACGATGGACTACGAATGCGTCTATACCAAGTCAAATGTATGTATTGCTGGCTGAAAAAGGTATGCATGAGCGTGAACTTATGGAAAATTTAGGACGTTGAGCGGCCCAGTTTAAACCGCGAGAACCTTTCACTGCCCATGGGCTCAGTCGCGCCCCCAATTCCCCAACGCGAATGTCGGCCCAGATCTCAGGGCTTCAACAATACCAGTTTTTCGGACTTGCGGACACCCACGCGATGTCCCATGGAATACAATAGCGCCAGTTTACCATCCATGAAATCCAGGTACTACCAATACTGCGCGATGGATTAAAAAAAAAACTAAATAAACCTGTTTTTTTTTAGGGAATCAGATTCATGCGATGTTCCCTTGCCGCCCAAGCCCACTCATTCCAGAGAACGATCGCTGACCAAACCGCCTTCTCCCAGACTGTTGAGGCACGCAATGTCCATGACGCCTACTGATGGCACTTCTCCATTAAGAAACTCCTGGCCTGACACGGGGATTGAGGAGGCTCCTCCGCTACCGCCGCGCTCGCATAGTGAGTACTTGGCGACACATCCAGCACTGGATTTACTCTTACCTGCTTATGTAGCGCCGGATAAGAGGGTGCAATCGCTGCCCAACGATGTGCCCCCGAACGTGCCTAAAAGGGGCCAGAAAAAGGCCACGCCCTCGATTTGCAGTGCTGAGTACTTGTCGACGGACGATGCAACAGGCGCCTTGCCCTCTTCATCCGAAGGGGACTTGGTGGCTTCGGCTTGCAGCTTTGGGGCCCCCAGCACAGATACCAAAGACCTGCGTGATTCCGGAATAAGCATGAATGAGACGAGGTAGGAATGCCGTCAACAACAAAAAATGATAGGATTGAGTCATACATGTATTTTAATTAGTTCGAACATCAGTCATTTCAACACTCAAAACTGCTACGATGATTTCGAGCTGCGACCGCATCCTTTCGAGCTTACCATGAGCAGTAGTCCTCCAAACCAAAGAAACGTTTTATCCAAAGAAGAGCACCCGCCGCCAATTCCTCCCAAAATTGGGGGAAGTTTGAATTCCAGCTTGGATTTTGGTGGTAAGTACGTTCTAGTTATTCTCTTTTTAAATTCCAAAWCAAATTMATTCCTGRGTTTCACTCATTTATTGTCTCTATTTATCAATCAAAAYACGTTTCGGTGTATTTTTCCWMCAYCGAAWCGTAKTTTGATTGATRWRTAG